TGGTGCTTAGATAGCAATGTGGTAATAGGCATCACTCACATGTGACAGATGACACCCCCCCCCCCCCTGCCCGGCCTTGTGATTGGCCACTGGAGCACCTACCTTAGAATCATGAGTGGGCAAATGAGCCGCTGGCTAAATTTCGTGCCCGAACGCCTCATTATCCAATCGCCATCAGGGCCACTGTAACAAGGTGGATTCATCTGAAGGAGCGAGAATCTGATTTTTGCTTCTGCCTCCTCTTAACGTTCCTGCTGGTGAGAAGATATGCAGCGTCATGCCTCAGATTTGTAAAAGCGCATAGTTTCTCCGAGCCAGTTTTGATTGTCGCAAATCGTTTCGTGTTCAGAATATAAAGCGAGTCTGTGAGGGTAAGCACATCATTGCTGGGCCCCAAGAGATGTATTAAATCCTATTACTGCATAAAAACAGATGGTTCAATTTCTTCCTTCACTTTTGTTGTGGCTGCAGAATAAACACAAACACATTCTGCCACAGTTAAATATTGTGGTTGCATAATTCACAAAAACACAGACTATTCATTTTATAGAAATGAATGCACATTATAAGAGGGAAGAACTCGCCGCAGCAGGAAGAATTAGACAGTTTTATTGTTCAGTTTACAGTGTGTTAGCTCACTTGTGAAACTAACGCAGTACTTGAGATATGTCTATAAAAACAGCATTTAAAGTGACTTTCAAGCAAGGTGTGTCTTACGAATCTGGGTCAGCGGTTACATGTTAAAGACCTGTTAACACGGTTGCATTTACAGTCCTCCTTTGTGTCGTAATTCTACGATTTATGCATCCTGAATGCCTATATTAATTCCTCCTTATTTTCATATTCCTGATGTTTAACCTCTAACATGTATAGTGGAGTATATGTAAGCAGCATTCTCTCATTTTCATCTTGAAAGAGTGGACGTGTATTTGAGATTCCTTTAGTGTAGTATTTCCCAGTCTGCTCCTCAGGGACCCACAGACAGTCCACGGGAGGAAAGATGTTGACTGTCTTGGCAAGGAGCAAAAGCATGGAGCGCCTGGAGGTCCCTTAGGGCCGGGTTGGGAAACACTCATTTAGGTGTCTTCTCCGGATTCTCTGGGAGCCGTCCAAGCTTTCTGTCTCAGAGGGGAATAGGTCGGTTTTCAAGTCCCACCTGTCCCTCTTCATAGGTGCGTTTGAGGATGAGGACATCATCCACGTGGAGGGGAACGTTGACCCGGTGAGAGATATCGAGATCATTCATGAAGAGCTGCGACTGAAGGACGAGGAGATGATCGGACCCATCATTGACAAATTGGAGAAGACTGCAGTGAGGGGTGGCGACAAGAAGCTCAAACCTGAATATGTGAGTCTCTACCTGGATGGGTTCCTTGCACACGCTTTGGTCATGTATGCGCAGGCTTCTCCTTCAAGCCGTAACACTAACCAACATTTAGGCCACACACCTCAGGTAATTTGCATTAGTGTTCCACCGAAGTGGAATTTTTGGCCAGTATTTTTATTTGTCTTACTGATAACTGTAACTCCTGAGCTCCACAAAACTGTAAAGAAAACCAGCGGTGCTTCCTGAAGCATCTCCCACAGGTTGGGTTGGATTGGCTTGACGGGCACTTCTTATGTACCATTCAGCCAAGCTGCTCCTATAACAGCTCAATACAGTTGAGATCCAGTGACTGTGCTGGCTACTCCCATTATACACAGAATTCCAGCTGCCTGCTTCTTCCCTAAATAGTTCTTGCACAGTTGGTAGCTGTGTTTGGGTTATTGTCCTGCTGTAGGATGAAAATAACTCCAATTAAGTGCCGTCCACAGGGTGTGGCATGGTGCTGCAAAATGGAGTGATAGCCTTCCTTCTTCAAGATCCCTTTCACCCTGTTCCAATCTCCCACTCTACCATCAGCAAATCAGCCCCAGACCACCGCAAATCAGCCCCAGACCACCGCATTGCCTCCACCGTGCTTCACAGATGGCGTCAAGAGCTCCTCCAGTGTCTGCTCATGTGATCTGTCTCACAAACTGTCTTCTTTGTCTATCCATAAATAGCACTTTTTTCCCCCAGTCTTCCTCTGTCCAGTGTCCATGTTCATTTGATCTGTCTCACAAACTGTCTTCTTTGTCTATCCATAAATAGCACTTTTTCCCCCCAGTCTTCCTCTGTCCAGTGTCCATGTTCATCTCAGTCTTTTCTTTTTATTGGCCACTCTGAGATACAGCTTTTTCTTGGCAATTCTGCCTACAAAGCCAGCATCCCGGAGTTGCCTCTTCACTGTTGACGTTGAGACTGTTTAATGATGCTGCCAGTTAAAGACCTATGAGGTGTCCGTTTCTCAAACTACACACTCTAATATATTTATCCTCTCCCTCACTTGTGTACCGGAGCCTCCCTCTCCCCTTTTTATTGTGGTTAGAGCCAGTTTGTTCTGCTCTGTGAAGGGAGTAATACACAGCATTGTACGAGATCTTCAGTTTCCTGGCAATTGCTCTCATGGAATAGCCTTCATTTCTCAGAACAAGAATAGACTGACGAGTTTCAGAAGAAAGTTCTTTGTTTCTGACCATTCTGAGGTTGTAGTCGAACCCACAATTGCTGATGCTCCAGATATTCAACTAGTCCAAAGAAGGCCAGTTTTGTTTCTTTATTGCTTCTCTAATGATAAATTAACCTTTTAAAATGATAAACTTACATTAGCAAACAACATTCCACTGGAACACAGGACTTATTGTTGCTGATAATGGGCCTCTTACACCTATGTAGATATTCCATTAAAACGCAGCCGTTTCCAGCTATGATAGTCATTTACAGCATTAACAATGTCTTTCTGCTCAGTCTGATGTTATTTTAATGGACAAAAAACTCCTGTTTTTTCAAAAGCAAGGAAATTTCTAAGCGACCCCAAACTTTTGAACGGTAGTGTAAATACATTAGTATGTCAGCTAAACACATACAGTTATATGTTTTTTTTATTAGTCTAATGGTAAAACATCATGTATATAAGATGAGCTTGTAAAGGAACACTTACCTGGTTGGCGAGATTCTTCAGGGTTATGAGGACACTAAACAAAGAAATTGTCAGATTTTTACTTGAACAGTTGAAAAGAAAGAATAATGTTTTTTTTTTTTTTAAGATCATGATGTGAAAATAAAAATCTTTTAGCATTAGCAGTTGACACAACCAAAGTTAACCCTTGAACATTCCTCACAGATCAGGCACATGATAATAGACCCATGAAACAGGTTGATACAGTGGTATTTTTTGGCAGAGAAATCACACTGGTGTGTTCCTGACTTTGGTGTTTAGAAGTGGAAAGGAGCAACAGTGCTGGCCAGAAATGGAGACAGCTTCAGGTGCAGCGAGCGACATGTGCGGCCCCCTACACTAATGAGTGGGGACCATTTCACCTGCTGGACGGGGGGCTCTGGACGATCCCCCCCACCCCCAGCGTAAACCCCCTCGACTGTGCCAGGCAACCAGGGAGCCATTCAGAACAAGCAGGTGGCTGCTGACGCACGTAATTGCCGACACTTTTAGGCAATGAATAAAAATGATCTACATTACTTGTCAAAGACTGTATGTGCCTTGCCAAGTGGCATCTATGGGAGGCCTTTTAGAGTTTAAAGAATAGCTCTTATCAAGGGATGCAGAGCTTTTTGGGGGGAGGGGCTGCAATAATGTATTTCTCAAGACCCCTATTTTGGTATCTGGTATCTTCAAGTTGGCTTAAATTAGGTAGAAGTGGGCAATGGTTGTTGTAGGAGATATGTCTTATATGGGTTTAAAGTCAGTTTGTGCTCCTATTTATGTATTTATTCATTTCTCCTTCATTTCCCCTATGGGGGATCCTCTAGCTGCCTGATTTTTATTTTCAGCTTTTCAGAGATTTGTGTGCAAAGAACCCAGTCCTTTGTCCGAGGAGCTTTTTCTGTTTATTTAAGCTGAAGTCAGTTTTTAGGCTGAGCGTACTCTGAAACTGACATCTGAACTCCTGAGACAGGCTGCAGTAGAGTGTATCGTCTCAGCCTCTCCGCTACTTTCTGCACACTTGTTTGGCTGTGATCTTGGTCGCAGGCAGCGCAATGTAGCCTAGCATAGGACACTGACCCAAATCTCACCAGTTTGAGACTGTCTTAAGCTAGCCATGTACTTCAGGTGGAATTGATGGAGTCCACGTTGTTCTGGCAGTGCGACGTTGTATGACGCGTAATAATTGCAGTGATCACCGTTTCGGCACATCCTCTTTGCTGGGTCCCCGAGGTGAACTTTTTCATTTATGATCCCACTCACTGTCCACAGTAGGCTGACATAAATGTGACACTGTGGGGTTGGTCAGCAGGACGAATCACGCGGTTTACTGTCATGCTTCGCATTGCACCGCACGTTAAATAGTGTAAATAAATGCAGGCATGTGCATTCCTGTTAATAGTAAATGTCAAACTGTGTAATGTTAGTTATGGAATGTATGCGTTTCGTTAGTGGCATTTAAATTGACGACTTCCCTGTCTGTGCACACAAAGTCTAGCTACTTATCAATGCTTAAAATATATGTATAGTGTGGGTTTGTAGGACCCCCGCACCCCACCCCCCCATCCCCCGAATGTCCTAGCTAGAGGTGTTTTATCTACTCACCTAGGGGAACAAAAAATTTTCAGTGGTTTTCCCAGAACACGGGGGACCTGCGCCCCTACCCCCCCTCTAGGGTTGTGGTGTGATAACGAAGGAACAAGGTGCCAGTGTCCTTTTAAGTATGTGACAGAGTGTTCTCGCCCGACGTGTTCGATTTTGCTTTGTCCAGACGTCATTTGAAGTACATGGCCACCTCTAGTTTATTAGGCAGAACAGCTAAGCTATGACACATTAATTGGTGCATTAGTGAGCAAAACTTTTATGTTGCGAGTGTTACTTGTTTTAGTGTCTGTACTTCTTGCCCTCGCAGCCTTGTGACTTGCTGACACTGTGTGTTGGCTTTGTTGGTTAGTTAAGGCTACAGTACAGCAGTAAGCTTCAGCAGAAGCTGCAGATCTTTTCAGGATTCAGTATGACAGCCATTGCGTCCCATTAAATGCCAGTTGCTGGACCAACATGACACCACATAGGGATTCGGTCTTCAGTCTGCTTTCCAACTCAGCGAGAAATTATTAATCAATGAAAACACATCTGCTTCTTGTCAGCTTTTTTTTCTTTTTCCCGGTGCATCTTTATCATTGTGTTTAATTGTGCTTTTTTTGTCTTGACGTGTATTGGGTTTAATTACAGGTAAGGCAGGCAAAACGCAGACGGACAATACAATGACCGGACTGGTGAAACAAACTGAAACGCAGACTAAATACAGAGGACTAATGACAACAACCAAAAACAGCTGATCACACGGGGATTCCACACGGGGTTAACGAGGGGGTGTGGCACATGGAAGGAGCGGACGATCGGGGCAGGACACGTTTTTTTAACTTTACACATTGTTTGGATACATTTATTTTCTTACTTTACAAATTACTGTTTTGATAAATGTGTTTAGATGTGTTTAGTACAGTATATGCTGTTCTTGTTTTATACGGTTCATTTTGTGTTTAAATGCTAAAAATGAATTGATTTTCCATTATTTCTTATGGGGAAAATTCGATCACAACTCAAACTTTTTAGGATTTGATCCGGAGTTCTGAACGGATTAAATTGGAGTTCTGAGGTACCGCTGTATGTCAGTCCTAATACATTAGTGTTTCCGTTGTTTGTTAAAATGCATATTTGGTTTATGAGGTTTGTACTGGAGGTGACATATTACTATGGAAAAGGCACAGATTTGTGTGCAAGCAAGACACCAGAATTGAAATGGCATCTCTTTGGGAAAGGCATGATGTGCTCAGGAGATTTCATCAGGAAGCAGGTCTGTAGCATAGACCAGCCAAAATAGATTTAAAAATCTATCTGGGGGGCTTGTAGTGAGTGGATGCCTTTCGGGGGCCCCGTGACAAGAGCCCCACAGTGATGTGTTTTTGTGGGAAATGTGGTGGAAATACCTTAAATTCTTTTTCAGAGAAGTGAACCTGAGTCTGCAGGCTGGGAAAGACTGAGATTATTTGGCTGGCAGTAAATTCGGGCATATAGACCCAGAAGATGTTTACTTCCTAAACTGCTACAAACCACTGCCCTTGTTATCCAAAGAAGCCGTCCTCTAAGCCTTCCAAACGCAGTGATGCTCTATCCTAACTCCAGCCTCTTTCTTGAAATATTAAATGTGGCTAATATTGACAAATCTACATTTCCTTGTTTATCTAACACTTGTACCGATAGTGACTTACAGTAGAGGGAACGGTAACAATTTACATGTGATCCTTGGGATTTGAACCCTCAGTCTTTGCGTTGCTTGTTGCTGACTGGTAGGTAGTGGGTTGGTGGAGAGTGGTGTGTTCCTTCACTTCCCCCCTTATGAAGGAAGCGAGTTGTCAGCCCGCCCGCCCGCCCTTCACAGTGGTACCGGCAAAGCCGTTGGCTCCTGGAAGCCCCCCCACGGCGCCTGCGAATGTGTCTGACCCCAGCTGCACCCCGAGCGCCTTTTAACAGCACCTGCCCACGAGCGGGGGGTCCCACCACGGCCAGCCCAGACCAGACGGGGTCCTGGGGGGGCGGGGGGGAGAAGAAGGCAAAGCCCGTGTCAGTCGCCATGTGCTGGTTCCATTTCACAGACGATTAGTCTTTCTGTGAGGGCGGGGGGCTGGCTGCCCATGACATGTCCCCCCCCCCCCCCACCTCAGCCAACAGAGGCACTGAATGGCCTTTAGAATTCCTGTGGAGAGAGATGCATGCAGTGCGAATGGGCCTGGCTGGGGGTCAGGGCTTGGAGTATTCCCCCTCCCCTCCCATTGTGACTGTTACAAGCCACATTCATTTTGGGGTTGTGGGGGTGCAGACTTGAAGTGGCACTGGCAGTGGGCAGGGAAATGGAGCACACGGTTTCCTTACATTCTCTGGGGTTGGATTAACAATAAGAGGCTCACTTTCTGTGTTGCAGCATTTTGCAGTGTAGCGCTGTCAGCATTGTGTGACATGCTCCTGAAACAGAGCAGCTGACATGGCAGCCATGACTGGGGGGGGAGGCGGCTAAGCTGACCTTAATTGCTGCCTGCGCCTTGCTAATTCAGCATGAGGTCGTGTGCAGCCGAGAGACCGGCAGGGACGCCGGAGAGCAGCGGCCGTCTCCCTGCACCATGTTCACGCTCTCTCTGCGGCCTGGTCAGGTGTACAGCAGCGCTGTTTGTCATCTGTGTGAATGGCACCCTCCGGAAAGCATCCCTCCCTGAATCGGGAGCCCCCCCTGGCCCCCCTCCCCGTACACATTCAGCCTGTCATCCTTCCAGTATGGGGGTACATTGTTTCAGTCTTGGCATCGGGGCACTGCGCATTTAGGAAATAATTACCCAGGCCCCCGCTGGGTTTACGTTCTTTTTCATCTCTGCTAATGACGTCTCTCTCGTTCCCTGTTAAACCCGAACAGGACATCATGTGCAAAATCAAGAACTGGGTAGTGGATGAAAAGAAACATGTCCGCTACTATCACGACTGGAACGACAAGGAGGTAGGCCTTTGATGCCGCCCCCCAGCCCCCCTAAACACACAGATTTATTAATGGGCTTTATTTATCAGTGGAGTCTTTTCATCAGAGCTGAAAGCTATGATTCTGCTCTGCTAATCACAACTTAATGTGCCTGTTCCCATTCTAAGGAAATATTTCAGTGTAACTTTTAACAAACGAATGTCATCTGTCATAACTGACACTGATCTCTTTGTAGCCCCCCCCCACAGTGCCCAGACCATAATTTGGTTTAGTTGACCCCCCTTTGTCTTGAGCATTCCTCCGTCTTTTTCTCCCCATAAGCAGAGCCTCTCCCTTCCTGAATTTTTGCAGATTGACGTATTGAACAAATACTTGTTTCTCACATCCAAGCCAATGTTATACCTCGTCAACCTCTCCGAGAAGGACTACATCAGAAAAAAGAATAAATGGTAAGTGCCGGAGTGCTGGGAGGGGCCTGCGGGCCCGGCGCCTGTCCGCTTAGGGAAACACACCATCTATACATGTTAGGTATGACTGAGCAGCAGCTTTCTCTGTGTCTCTGTAATTGGCACTTTGCATGCAGATGATGATGTGAGTAAATAAGATGAGAGGTCAGGGGTCTGCACCGAGTCCCCTGCACTGCAGGGGGGGGGGTTACTGTCAGTACCTTGGGGAACACAGAGTTTGCGAACTGTATGAGGGGTGGGGTACCAACCTGATCCCACTAAACCCCCCACCTCCGCATCCAGCCTGGCCTCCCATCCTGCATTTCATTAAGTACTTAACTGCACATGGCTTCCATTTTCCATTAAAAAAATTCTCATTTCCATGTGATATCAAAGAGGGGGGAAAAGGCCTTAAACCGAAAAAATAAACATGCATAGACTGGAAGCCAAAGCAGTAATTAAAGTCATATGGTCTCAGCCAATAAATCATCATCGGAGGCTCTCTTTGAATCCTGCACTGTCCAGAATTGTCTTCTGCTTAAATCTGGTCTTTCTGACATTTTCTGATCGTTTACTGTTTTCAGATGTTGTTTTCTTTGTTTGGGGAAAATTATAAAGTATTTATCTCTTTTTTTGGTGTGTAAATTCTCAGATTTTGATAGATAACATATGTGAATGTAAAAATGGTCAAGAGGAGTTTGGAAGCTGGCCATCATACAGGCTTAAAGCCAGAACACTCCGTTGCTTCAGGTCTCAGGCTGAAGCTGGCCTGCATAGAGGTCTGAAGCTGGAACATTCTTCATTATAGGCCTCAGGCTGAAGCTGGCCTGCATAGAGGTCTGAAGCTGGAACATTCTTCATTATAGGCCTCAGGCTGAAGCTGGCCTTCGTAGAGGCCTGAAGCTCTAAAGTTCTTCATTACAGGCCTCAGGCTGAAGCTGGTCTTCACAGAGGCCTGAAGCTGTAACATTTTTCATTACAGACCTCAGGCTGAAGCTCACTTTTACAGAGGCCTGAAGCTGTAACATTCTTCATTATAGGCCTCAGGCTGAAGCTGGCCTTCATAAAGGCCTGAAGCTCTACAGTTCTTCATTACAGGCCTCAGGCTGAAGCTGGTCTTCACAGAGGCCTGAAGCTGTAACATTCTTCATTACAGGCCTCAGGCTGAAGCTGGCCTTCATATGGGCCTGAAGCTGGAACGTTCTTTGCTACAGGCCTCAGTCTGAAGCTGTTTCCTGAAGTTTTGTAGGAGATCTGCAAATCCTTTTTCTGCTAGAAGCCAGTGACCTCTCACTGGGGAAAAGCAACAGAAGTGTGTGGAAACTTAAAACCCCAGGAAGAGTGGATTGTGCTGTCAGTCTGCGATGAGTTAATAACAGAGGGAAGGTTGTGCTCTTCACACCACCTCCAATCGGAGGCCGCAGGACGGATGCTGGCATCATCTTACTCTTTTTAACTTGATTTGGCTTTTTGACTTAGCTGACGCCGGCTCCCTCAATCTTCAGTTTTAAGATGTTCTTTTTTTTCAGAGAGTGCATCCGTCTGTCTGGCATTGTGACGTGGCTCCCCTCAGTGGGAGGAGAAGCTTCTGTCAAATAAATCAGGTGATTCATGGCTTTGTTACCTGTCTGTCATCCACCGGATGGCAGATGCAGGTTTTTGTTCTCTCACGTTGTTTTTCAACGGAGCAAAACACAATAAATCTCTGGCTGCTGTCAATCGGCGCCCTCTAGTCCCAAGCTACCAGCCACGCAAGCCTGAGAGGGCGTCGCGCTCCGCCTGTGACTCGCCTCCTACCCCGTCCACCTGCATGGGGGGGGCGCTGTGATCACAGGTAGATACGACGACTCCTATTGGACAATGCAGGCGTCCCTAATGCTGTCGCCTGGTCCTTCCGTGATTCCCTCCAAAGCCACTGGGATGATGAGACGGCCGGCGGTGGGGTGGGAGGCGGCTGATGGGGGGTGAGAGGCGGCTGATGGGGGGTGGGAGGCGGCTGATGGGGGGTGTTGGGCTTTAATGTGCAGGGAGATGTAGTTTGTGCTGAGATTAAGCGTAAGACCAGTCAGGCTGGCGGCTGAGAGCTGCGGCGGTTTGTGACGCACATGTGCCCATGTTGACTCCTCGCCTTTCCTCAGGTAGAGATTTTGGGCCATGAGAGCTTATCTTACCGGCCTCCCAACCCAGACCGATCCAGTTATGTTCCAAATTTTTTAGGGCCCCTGCTGCTCCGGGGCCCGTGTAACTCTCCCCTGCTTTATGGTGCCCCTGTCTGAAACATTTACGTTTGTTTAGCAGATGCTTTTATCCAAAGTGCCGTACAGATAGCGCACTTTAAGCCTAGTAGCATCAACGTTTCAGTTTTATTTTATATGCAGACAGCATGTCTGACCTTCATGTTTAAGTCTGCAGGGTCGCTGTCCTTGAATTTTATTGAAACTAAAGAGTGTCCATCCCAAAAGACATTAATTTAAGCCCCCACCCCGCTGGATCTCTGCGCCCGTGTGTGTGTAATCCCAAGCCGCGTGTGCTTGCTGGCGCATGGGAACGCACGCTTGCGTACGTTTGAACTCACAGCCGAGGCGACTCTCGGCTCATTTAGATCGCAGCGTAATTGCAGCCCGGGAGATCAAAGCCGGGCCGGTCCCAGTGATGTTCCTGAGAAGGGTCTGCATCAGCGGGGCTGCCCGCTGCTCCCTCCTGCCCTGCGGCCCGCCGCTGACGACCCCCTGCGCATCCCCGCTCGTAAAGAGCCGGCGAGGAAGTGTGTGCCACGTGTTTACGAGCGGCAGGCATCGCGTGACGGGCGCTCAGCCGGCCCCAGACGCCTGTCTGCCTGCCTGAGCAGCGCAGGTTCTGCGGGTTAGGAAGCGTGAGATGCTTTTGCTGTGCGTCAGGACAGCCGGCGGCGGCCTGGGCTGGGAGAGTATGGTGGCCGCCGTCATCCTGTCTGCCGTCTGAGCTCACCGAGACACTGAGCTCAGAGCCGAGGTGGCAGCGTGTGCCGCAAGCTTGCCGGCTCTTTAGCAGGGCGTGAGGAGTGTGAGTGACGGGTGAGTCATCCAAGCCGTCATGTGCATCCGGTGTTTGTCCAGGTTGATCTTTTTTACAGCGACAAATATCAAGGTAGTAAAAGAGCCCACTTTAAGAACGATGGCATCCTTTTCGGCACATGCCCCGAAGTGTGTTTGGGACCAGTGTAAGAAAAAAATAAGCTAGCTTGACTCGTCCGACTGCATTGCATGGTGGGTCGTCAAAGAGGATACTGAAGATTTGAAGCTTTGGGTCTGTGCGCATTCCTGCACGTTCATTTAATGTAGCAGACGTGCAAAGGTGAAATCACTCTGCCGACCACAGGACCTAACCTGCGGCCTTCTGATGGGAGGCATGAGCCATGCGCTGCCCCCATCCCTACGTGTTTGTATCACTTTTAGTGTTTTTAGTAGTGTGTAGAAAGTGGACAGGAGGATATTTCAAGTGAATAGATTCTCTCACCTGTCTGCAGGTGGCGCTGTGATAACAGATCACAGCACAAATAGCTAGTTGGTGCCTCTAAGCCCCTAATTCTCTGGCACGTGCACAGGCCTCGTCGGGTATCTGCTCAAATCCACCACACCTGTTAACCAGGTGGGAGCTGGATTCGCTGCCTACCCTGAGCTGCCCTGCCTCTGGGGGACCAGTCCTGCTACAGGAAATGCCAGCTGAACTCTCCGTTTTGCTGGGAACTCTGTTTTGCATGCCGTGCCTGTCACCCAGTCAAGAGTCAAGAACCATAGTAACCAAACTGCTTTGAAGACAACAGCCCCATCCAGCATACACTTTAATAACTTTATTTTAATTTTTTTAAAGTGATGCTTTACTTTTGGTCGGGGAAAATTCAGAAAGATTTATGACTATTCATTTCTGTGAAGAGGAAATTTGCTGAATGGGATCCATGCGAGGAATTCCTCTAGTGTGGAGCCCTGAACTCTCTTTAGTGGTCGGATTTGGATGGATGGATGGTCCTAATACATTTGTGATAAATACAAATGAGAGAGAAACCATCCAGTTAAACAAACACCAGTGGAGTCATGCAGGAGCCCCCCCCCCAGCACAGCTGATGTAGCCCAGTGTATCGGGTCGCCGCGTGATTCGCTGGCCTGTGTAGAGCGAGGCCGGCGGATGTCTTATCGCTAATGAGATCCGGGCCGCCGGTGTCACAGTGCATCTCCTCCCCGGTGGCCGGCCCGAGGCTTGTTTGCTCCAGTTGGACCTGTCACCATAAACTGGCCAAATTGGGCGAGTGAAGAGAGTAAAGAGTAAAGCGGCGACAGTTTGCAATCTTAAAGCAGCCAGCAGATTTTCAGCCCGGCTGCCTGGCCGCTGATCAAAAGTCCCTCCTTATGAACAGGAATACACCATTAAAATCCATTTTTTTTCCCCCAGTTTTTATGCAAAGGTTGCATTTGAAAAATGTTGCTCAATGCAATGGATACATTCCTGCCAAAACAGAAAGCCAGGCTGCCCTGGTACTAGAAAATAGCTCTTAAAATGGCTATTAAAAATAAAGAGAGTCCTATTTAGCATTCCTGGCTGGCTTTTCATTTGATATTGAGCATAGAAATGCGTGTGACTTTCGCGGCTGGTTAGTGATCCTCGTGATCGTTGTGTGTATTATAGTCGCGTCGCAGTAAGCGTGCTGCGGCCGACCTTCTTAACAAGCTAGATAAATGAATTTCATGTTGACACACACGGCCTCTGAAAGCTTGTTATAAGAGCGATTGTTGAACTGTTGTGAACGGGGCAGACAGAGATGTTGAAACAGGGGCATGATTGCCTGATGTTACATATGTCCCTGATTACCTTCCTCCTGCTTTTATTCTAATAAGTGACATTCTTTGTACTCCCCTGGACAGCTAGACAGCCTGACACTAGATGAGAATAAATATTGCATGTGCTGCACATTAAGCTGTCAGCGGCGACAGCGTCTGAGACGGGGAGACGCCGAAATCGGCGAGAAATCGGCTCCTCTTCTTTTTTTTTAATTTTATTTTTTTTGCCCATTCTTGTCAGGATTGTCAGTTCTTGACAACTTTCTCTCGCCTCGTCTCTCGCAGTCGGTCGTGGTGGATGACGGAAGCCACTGCCTGTGCGAAGATGGCCCAACGAGATTCCTGCTTTGCTTTCGTTTATCACGCAGATCCGTCCGCTCTGAACCGCGCAGCCCCGGGATGAATGCATGGGAGCGGGCAAGCATGGCCACGTCTTTGCCGGAGTAACTAGCCTGTGAGGATTTTTAAAGTGTCCCTGCTTTTTGTTTGTAAGACTTTTGAATCCAGCAAGGTTTCTTACGTGCGGATATACCCAGGATTTTTCTCTGGCTCTTCATTTCAGTTTCCTGACCCACAGTTGCACCCCAGATAGTACTGCTTACTGTTACCTTCAACAGTCACACTGTTGGATGTGAAGTGAATCAGCCGCCTTGGCCCCTTTGTCAAGGACAGAGTGGCAGGCTTTCCGTACTGGGACACCCGGCCTACCTTTCCTTACCCGGCCTGCCATGCATGAGTGCGGGCTGGAAAGACCCGAGTGCCATTAGGGTCTGGTGGCACAGGGCATCACCCGGAAGGGTTCCTGGCCGCTGAGATTGTGCCAGCACTCTACCTGTGGGGGAGTTCAGTAAGAGCCCCAGGGGCGGGAAAGCCCTTTGCTCAGACGAGCCCTCGGAGGATTACCCCTACGCCCTGTCGGCCGGTTGCATGTGAAAGGGGGTCTTCCCAGAGCCCAGGTGCGGGCTGCCCTTTGTCACCTGCTTTTACGAGCTTACCTGCTGTAACGGCTGTAATAAAGCCTTTCAGCTGAAAGCAGGTAAAGCGACGGACCGGCGCCGCTCATCAGATCGGGTAGTCGCACCTGTCCTACTGCCCCCCCCCCCCCCCCCCCCCCACCCCACGTTTCCGCCTCCTAAGTCATTATGGCAGATCAAAGCTGTCCCACAGCTTGGGCCGGCCGGAGGCAAGCCAGATTTTTAGAATTGTGTGAGATTCTTGAAGCAATAACAACATCTTATAAAAAGCCCAGCAAAGCCATGAGAGATTCTTAGCTCCTCTTGCAACCCGCCCCCCCCACTTCAAGTGGCCTGTCTCAGTCGAGCAAAATCGGTCCATTATCCCCCGTTTACACCTTAAATGGACCATCCCTGCCATGCAGTATGCAGACACAAGCAGGCTCGCTAAATGCATCTTTTACTCATTTACTCACTGGCTGTTGCGATCTTAATTGCAAAATAAATAGTGGAGCGCAGTGCAGGCGCTTGCTAATCTCCAGATTGCACATTGCATAGCTGTGCTTTCAGCAGCGCGTGGGAGGAATACCATTCCGATCGCAGTTTCTCTGCTTGCGTGACTTCATATGCGACTGCGTGCGTGCTAACATGCGTCAACAGGCTAGCGCTGACGTTATAGCTGTTCATCGTCAGCCGTCTTCATTTCATTATCATTTTCAGGTATTTTAATATTCCTCACATTTTCGGATATAGCTAATGTTTCACCAGTTCACGTGTTAATGAGGTTTGAATTGAGTGTTGTTAACGCATGCTAATTGATACAGTTGGAATTTTCCTCGTAGACTCTCGCCTACATGCTCCTTAATCGAACGAATATCGCTAATCCAGCCTTACCATGTGCGTTAAGGATAAAGTCTAATTGTGAACATCTTGAAATAAATTTAACGCATCTTAATTTAAAGAATCCTCGTTACTCTGCATTGTGTGTTTTCTTTTCCCCTTGTGCCGATGAGGTACCAGTACCACAAACACTTCCTCTCCCACTGCCTTGTGCGGGATTTTTTTTAAGCTGCTGAATGATTAGCAGAAATAATGTCTTTGTCAAACTTAATCACATTAAAATGTATTTGACATCTAATTCCCCCACAAACACAGACACTTAACATGCGAGAATTTCCACTAGATTTGCAGTGAAGTCCTCTGGAATTCCATTAGAAGAATAAAATTTTTCATGCATCGTTTCTTCAGAGGGGGTCTGGGCTGGGAGATGCTGGATCTCTGCATTAGCAGCTGCGTGCGGCGGTGAGGTGCGGGGAACTGCTGTCTTATCCACTCGGTGCTGAGGCGTCCTCACTATTCTGCACACGCTGTTTATGTGCCCAATTCTACCAGTATAACTGATATGTGCCATCTGTACTGCGGTCTCCTTACGGATTGGACTGTCCCAATTCTGTCTGTACCTATGGTGTCCTTCGACTACCCTTAGTTCTGTGTGCCATTCAGATGACTGTTAGGTGAATTGTTGCCTGTAGTTCATTCCTGTATTCCTTGTGATAGCCTGGCTGCCTGGGATGGACTCAAGGCTCAACGCAACCCTATCAAACATAGACAAAAAAAGTATATCAATCATTTTGTGGATTTGTTTGTGCTTCATGTTTGGAATTTAATTATTGTAAATTTGTGTGATTTTATTGAGATAATATAGCAAGCTTCATAGCTTGGGAATAATCCGATGAGGCAGAAAAAAATGCCGACTGGCTCCTGATAGTTACCAAGCTTTTTGTGTGGGTGTGCAATGGAGATGGGCACTTCTGTCCTGGTGTTTGATGCCTTCTGCTCTGTGTTAGGCACTGGGGGGGTCCCACCTGTGCTTCGTTTGGCTCCACTTCTGACCTCACCCTCCCTCCACCCCCACATTATGAAATCCCATCCAGCTTCTGGCCCGGGAGGATCTGGGCTCTTGTTGAGTCTTCACTGATTACAGTCCCAGGTACAATGGCCTATTGACGGGCCCTCATGCTGCCCCCCTCGGATGAGTGATTCACGGATCAGTGTCCGGCCGGCCGCCTGCACCGGGCACGGTACCTGAGGAATGCAGATGGTCTGCCAAGGCAGCAGACAGCCGTGTTCGGAGTGACAGACCACAGCTGTTATTATCTCAGATTGGCCTGTTTTCTTCTCCTTGGGGCAGCCGTCTCCTGCACTTTCCAGTCCTGTGTTTCTGTAAACTGTAAATGTTTTTCTGAGAAGTGGCCACCGTCTCAAAAGTAGCGGCTGTCGAATTTTAAAAGTCCAGTTCTAACGATAACGGGCAATCACAGAGTGGGAATATATTCCAACTCAGTGCAGCATAATTGGCAAATCACTGACGTATCAAACTCTGCAGTTGTTGAATGTGGGGCTATTGGCAAGATACTATAGTCACAGTAATGGTGATGCTACACAGGGCAACTTTTTGAGTAATGTTGCTGGGCAGTTGCCAACCAGAAGAGATAAAGGGCAACTCATCTTGATCTGGATGATCGCAAAAAGTTGCCCACTGCCCACATAGTTTTTCAAATAGAAATTTGTTGCCCAATATCAATGGGAAAATGCCCTAGCAACACTGCTCAAACAGTTACCCTCGTTTATCATCACCCTTAGAGAAGAGCTTCCAGCCTGCTGCTTGTTTAACAAATACCCAACAATAAAGGTCCAAGTCCAACATCCAGGCTCTTGTGCAACTATGCTATGCACTTCCTGTGAACTCCAGCGTCTAATGAAACTGATGTAAATGTAGGGACTCTCCTAATTCTACCTTGACCCTGTATCAGAGGACTGTGACCTTCCGACCAGATGGCTGCCTGCGGGAATAACGGTCACGTTGGACAAATCCGCTCATGGGGAACTTTGAACTGATTCTAAACAGGAAGCTAAGATTACATATAATAGCAGGAGTCCTACTGGCAGTGAGTGGGGACAGACCCAAGGTGTGAAAATTGGCTTTGTTAGGCCTCTCTTTGGGATCGGCCCAGAAAACCTGCTAAAAGGGTGTTGGCCTAAGCTCATAATTGCTCCCATCTCCATCCACTTTGTTCAGGCATTGAATCGTGATTAAGTGCCAGGTTATCTTTGCCCTGCAATGTCAGGTGTCCTGCTGTTTCTGCCTCTTGGCTAGAACAATTATTTCGTCTCCAATTGTTAAAAAAGTCACTCTTGAGAGCTTTACAATGACTGAATGACAAAGATATTTAAGCAGATGAATGCTTCTCTGTGGTCTGCAAGTCCCTTCTGCAGTCAGAGTAAACCCCTATCCAATAAACAAGAATAAAAAAAACCCTTAAGTAAGCAAGCAGAACCAATATTTTAACATTCCCACTCCTGCATTACACGTCAAACATAATGCTCCTAAACTAAGAACTAAAATTAAAAAAATAATTTTGTTCTTTTTACCTATGTGCACATGTCTTATTAAATTATAGTTTTAGAATTACAGTTGCATGGGCTGGTTAACAATACTTTCTAATGCCTAGCTAGCATTCGGTATCTGTTTTCCTAATCCAGGTAGCCTAATGAAATCAGGTTTTCTAAATACAAAACATTTAAGTTTAGTTTATCTTGGTTCACCTGTGAATTTCATAATTGTAGTGGTTAAAAAGGCTTGAGTGGTCATGTTTAGAGAGTCATTTTGATAATTGGATGAAACTACATAAGACAAGGTGTGGATTCAAAGCCAGTCTGGAGTTAGGCAATAATAGGCTAAATCAAATTGTTAAGTTGTATTCAGAATTACTGTGTGTTCATTCCTAGCAAAATATTGACTGTTTTCATTCCTCCAGCTGGATTGGAGCCCCAGGTGCAAGGTGATTTTAAATCTGACCACTTCTAGCTTGCTTGTTCAAACATCTGAGAAGAGAGAGTCTTCAGGTGACCCCAGAAGAAGCTGTGCAGTGACCCGGCGGGATGACCTGTCCTCTGTGTCCCCAGGCTGGCGAAAATCAAGGAGTGGGTGGACGTCCATGACCCCGGGGCGCTGGTCATCCCCATCAGCGGGGGGCTGGAGAACAAGCTACAGGACATGAGCGAGGAGGAGCGACAGAAGCACTGCGAGGAGCAGAAGACCCAGAGGTTCATTAGCATGCGCTCGCCTTACACTTTATCATCAACTGTTTCCTTGTACTCACTTAATTGCTTGTGCTGATAGAATAATAAATGGCAGAGTAATTACCATTATAAAGAAGGAATCCTTCCCTTTACAGAACAACTCACTCAAAGGATTTTATTCTAAATTAAGTTTTTAACTGTCATCTGCCATCTTGGGGATAATTATAACTTGGTGCTTTTTAGGTACATTGTTCTCTGTATAAAGGCCCAGGGAAAAACGGTGAGCGGTATATTTCTGGAATAACGATGTATGGTGGATGTGTGAGAGGTGCTGAGTATGAGGCCTCCGATGACAGCTGGGCCACCATGCGCAGGAGCTGCAGCGCCCGTGTCGGCGTGCTGCGTGTCATGCACGGTCACGGCGGTACCTGAGCGGAGGCAGGCCCACACGAAGGGGGGGTGAGTGTGTTAGCGGGCTTCTGACGTTGTGTCCCCCTCCCCCCGAACAGCGTGCTGCCCAAGATCATCAAGAGTGGCTACGCAGCCCTGCAGCTGGAGTACTTCTTCACTGCGGGGCCGGACGAGGTGCGAGCCTGGACTGTCCGGGTGCGTAAGACCCCCCCCCTCCAAACTAGGAGGGATAAACCAGGATTCTGTGTGTGTGTGTGTCTGCGTGTGGGTGGGTGGGTGTGTGTGTTTCTGCATGTGTGTCTACATGGGTGTCTGCATGTGTACATGGGTGTGTGTGTGTCTGCGCGTGTGCATGCGTGCACCTGTGTGTGTGTGTGTGTGGGTGTGTGTGTGTGTCTGTAAGCTGCTGGGCAGTGAAAGTGAGGAGCGCATTGATTGAGGAGGCCCAGCTGAATGTGTCCATTACGTACCGGCAGTGTTTCCATCCTGCCAAGATCAGGCCGACCTCCTCCTGCGGCTGCAGATAAGGTTGTCCCCCCATTGTGCTGCTTAATCTGCCCGACTGCCTTCGTCTCCAGCCAGACCGATGCAGCTTTTCATTTGCCGGTTATTTATTATTATATTCCTGTTTGCCGGGTGGATCCCTTTCCGCGCGCGTCTCGGTTCCCGCTGCCCGCTGCGTCACACGTGCACCCCAGACAAAACAATTACATGAGTGCGACTGCTAGAATGTTCCACTGGGATGGATGCGTAGAGACAAAGGAACAGGGGAACAATCCAGAACATATTAAGAAGAACTTCTTGTGCAATATTTTGCCCCAAACTTCCTTTAGCACGTAATAACAGTTCTTGTACATCGGCACTCTGTTGACGTGTGTGGCTGCATGTTTTTGTCTGAACAGCAGCGCAGTGTTTAGGATGAGATGGCAGACAGCTGCAGTGCCCTACAGAGTTATTGCCCCCCCTTGATAAATAAAAGCAAAATGGGCTTTATTTATTCTCTTGATCTTTAATTCAAGATTTTAAGAGAAATCGTTAATTGAAGTAATTGAAAGGAACAGAAATGATCATAAAACAAATATTTTTCTCAAATAATATATGTGGGTGAATTCTACCTGAAGTGCATCATGTTTTACCTTTTTAAGTTCATGTCACTGATTACGAAGTCGGAGGAGGTCAGCCTGTGAAGACGCACCACTGCCGGGCCTCCCCCATCTCAGAATAAGGAGGGGGTGCCTCTGTCTGGCAGGCAATGGGATTAACCCTGTTCATTTTTACAGCGCAAGATGTACAACAGAAGTCCCCCCGTAATTCCCTGTAACCATGCTTGGTTTTCCCATCCGTCAGCTTGCCTTAAACTCCCAAACACTCGCTCTGTGTGTTTGATGCACCGTCTGCCACCTGGGCAAACCCCCGATGATGCTGATTTATGTGAGCCCGACTCCCTCAAAAAAATGACGCCATGGGTCATAATGTATTGGGGCCATTAAATCCGCATCATTCTTTTGGCATGAAATATGTTGACCCCAGCTTTATTATACAAATAATTAAAACTGTGTTGTGGTGCTGACTGAGAGGAGCAGCCGGCAGGAAGCTTTGTGATGCTGAATAGTAATGTACAGTGTGCCGGCCCTGGCTGTAATACTGCACGTTAAAGCTGCTCATCTTATTGGGGTTTCAGGTGGTCCCACGTCTTTAACAGCGCGTTTGAAAGGGCGACGTGCTGTTTCCCTCCCGTCGCTGTTAGTGTAGCAGTTCCGCCGGTGCACATGTGGCACAGTCTGTGCTCCTTGCATGTCCTTGCACTGCGGGCTCAGTGCTTTTGGGGTTTGGAGCAGGTGTCCAGCGTGCAGCTCAGGTGGGAGATGGATACCAGCAGGGGGTGGTGGTCAGAGATTTCCTGGGGGAGCACTGAGAGCAGCACCGCCCTCAGGGATGGGCTGGTACAGGAGTGCCGTGCCCCCCACCACCCACTCATGCTGACTGTGCTGCTATGTATCCTCCCCCCCCCCCAACAGCAATTCATTTTCCTTGTGCCCCCCTCCCTGACAGAAAGGCACCAAGGCGCCGCAGGCCGCCGGAAAGATCCACACTGACTTTGAGAAGGGCTTCATCATGGCCGAGGTGATGAAGTTCCAGGATTTTAAAGAAGAGGGTAGCGAGGGTGCTGTCAAGGTGAGGGGCGTCTGGGTGGAGGTGCACGTGCGCACACACACGCACACACACACACACACGTTTGTATTCATATCTTTGTGGGACCATCCATTCATTTCTATGGGCAAAACCCTAATCGCAGCTATAACAACCTTAACCCCTACCCAGCCCTAACCTTAACCATAAGTAACCAAACAAATTGCAAACCATTTAGCATTATTAGTTTTTTGATTGGTGTTTCCCCTTGTGGAGACCGAAAAAATCACCATAACAGATTTTTATCACATTTGGTCCCCGCAATGTAATATTTACGTAACCCACACTCATGCGCAGAAACGCACCATGATTTCACTGGTGTATCTCTGCTCTCTGGAGGTTACTAAAAGTCAGCCGGCGTGCGTCTTTACCGCACTGTTTGGGTAACGTCGTGATTTGGCCCGTCTGTAATTCCCACGGAGACCCTCAGGCTAGAACAACATTCCCCAGTCCAGCATGTCACACGAGGGATTACGGCTGTTCCTTCCCTCGGCGTGATGGGACTTGGCTGAAGTAATGGCTTCGCCTCCGTATCCTGCTGCCCCGGAGAAACGAAAGCATCAATGTGTCAGCGGCTCTTGTCGGAAGTCGCTCGGATGAGTTATCGCCAAGCCCGCCTGCGCCGCTGCTCCTGAAGCGACTGACGAGTGACGGCGACTGACAGGCGTCCGTTTGCGAGGGAGGCCCACGCTGACACAATCATTATCTTGGCTGTTTTGATAATTAGGTGTCAGACATGATCAAACATGACAGGAGCGGCGTGTACGTCTGACTGCAGTCAGAAGGGTCAGGCCTCGCTAGCATAAATACATCAATCTGCTCAGAGACAGTGGGAGCTGCAGCAGAAGCGGTGTGTTTGCAGCTTCTCCAGACACTGCGGTTCCTGTCCTGTGTAATAAGCAGGCTTTTTCCTCCTCTCCCCCGTCGGTACAGGCAGATTAAATGATCACTTGCACAGATCAGTACAAAGCAGAGATCACAGGCGAGCTCGAACCTCATAAATTACTGTCAAGCGGCAAAGGCAGACAATGCCTTTTGTGTGGGATATTAGTGTGTAATTGAGGCCGGTCCTTTAACCCTGATTAGAGTCGGGTGAGGAAAGAGACACGCAGGGAGGAACATGCAGGCTTGTGCTAATGTCACTGAGGGGACTCTGAGGGCACCTCTTCACCCCCTGGCAGCGAGCCGCTCCACCAACGCACACTGTACTCTCCACTTCCCGTAAATATTATGTCAGTCCTCCTCGCCGCGTTCACACTGCCATTAGGGTGGACTCTTGTTATGCAGCCCTTATATTTATACCTGTTTCATGCTATATTTCAACAAGAAATTGGACTAGATTCTTAATTAATCTCCCCTGTTCCAGCTGCTTTTGTACTTCAGTATTTAAATATATTATGCATATATTAAACATATATGCAGCCATTTGGCTACCTGGTACTGTAGGTCCCCTTTTGGCCTCAGGACCACTTCAGGGGTTGATGAGATGTTCATTCAGAGTTGGCCTTTTTGCACACCACTGTGGCACTGAGCTGTTATATATGAACTTGTGGCCTTCCTGTTAGCTTTAATGAGTCTGGTCATTCTCCTCTGACTTCCCTCATTAGCAAGGTGTTTTTGTCCCCCAGGAATGCCACGGGCTGCATGATTTTCGTAAAGTCTGCGTACTGTTGGGCATAGACATCATAGGAGGATGACTATTTCTGATGCAGGCAGTGACTGAACCTCATGACCCTGTGTGCTGCATGTATTCAGCTGCAGCCTCACGATTCGTTATTTGCGTTAATGAGCAGATGTGCCGAATATTGTAGCTACCGAGTATAATGTAAACATTGTAAACATGCTTGTCGGTTTTTTCTGAAAGGTGTTCTGCAGACATGTGTAGAACGTAGATTAAACTGGCATAAGCTAGTTTATTTTACCAGGAAGAGTTTGTGTTAATTGTCAATAGCTTAATAAAATTGTCACTGAGACTCTTGATGAAAAAGAGAAGTGGAGTAGTACGGGTTCAAGTGAAGGGAGGGACACTCGTTGAATGCTTGACGACAGTGTAGATGCGTAATGTCAGGTCACTTTGCTTGTATTGTAAGAAACGTAGACACGTCGTGTTTCTAGTCGAAATAATAAAACTGCCCTGCAGTGTTAAATGTTTCAGAACACAGTTATTTAAATATACAGTTGTGATGGTCAGCATGACGATGACCAGAACAGAATTACTTAAGGTTCTATACTTGCCCAGTATAGACACTCCAAAATGAAATGCGTCGCTTGGACAGCAGTAAGCAGATGCCTTCCCACGGGCTCGTCCTGATGGCCTGGATCTCAGCATCCCCACGAGGTCGGGATCTTGCTGCACGCCGGTGAATTTGTCCCCGGGTGCAAAGCCACAGTGGAGGCTGCTCTGTCAGAACGTCACTGGGCAGGAAGCTGTAGCAGGGATGGACCAGCATGCCGGGAGTATTACGTTATTAGTAATCATATCTGCACGGCGCCAGCAGATGGTTGCTTTCAAGTGCAAATGAACCGCTTCGACGTGTCTGGTTTTATACATACTCAGGAATTACAAAAGGCCATTGATTTTTTTTTCTTTCTCTTCTTCCTCTCCCTCTTCTCCAAACGCGTTTTCTGGTGGCATTGAGTCTGGATTAACCGGTCTCCTGGGCCCCTAAAAGGAACATTGATTCCTTTAATTAATTGTACACTGCAGAAGCAGAATGCATAACCAATCCATATTAGCACTTCAAGTCAATTATTTTGAGTTTGACTGGAGGAGGGTGCTAGCGCAGGCATATAGAAAAGTCATGGAAACAGTTTTTTTTTTTTTTGTGAAATAGTGACATATAAAATACATGTTTTTATAAACAGTTCACTCATGTTTATGAATATAAATAGGAGGAGGCTCGGGAAAATGGCAAAATGGATCCATGAATAAAACATACTTTTAAAATGTGTTTTTTGTGTGTTGTTATTTTAAATGAAATGTCTCCCCACAGTCTGCTGGAAAATACAGACAACAAGGCAGAAACTACGTCGTGGAGGACGGCGACATCATCTTTTTCAAATTCAATACTCCAAACCAGCCCAAGAAGAAGTGATTTGGGTGGGGGGACCCCACGCACCCACCTGGATGAACTGCTCACTGAGGAGAACGGGGTCCTTTGTTTTAAACTGAATGAAACCAGGAGGTTTGATTGGGACCTGTGAGCTGCCCTGATTCCTGTCCATTGGGGTGGAAAATATAGGGCCACTCCCCTCCCAACCACCACCACCTTCCAAAAAAGTCCACTAAACATGTGACAGCTTTGCTATTTAAGATTAGGATCCCCCACTCAGAAAGGGGGCTTTTGAAGAAACGTATCACTCTCCAGATACTTCATTAATCTCCGTCACAGGTGCCAGGGCTGACATGCCAGACAGCCAGGACAATGTGGCCTGCTCCTCTCACAATCTACAGATAATGCATGTTTTACAGTAGCCCAGATGTCTACACTCAATAAAACATTTGACAAAACCAGCTTGCGTGTGCTTGTACGTCTGTATTGACTGGTACCCGGCAGGCAGGGGGCGATATGGGGACCTGCTGGGCACTGATTACAGAATTAAAAGGCGGGATGACAGTGAGGAGACAGCTTTAATTGTATCTTTTGAGATATTCCTTTATTGAAACAAGAAGGGGGGCTGCTAACGATTACATGCAGCGTTGTGTGGGAGGGGGTCCTTGGTTTTTGGTTATCGGGGTAAGACGCTTTTCAAATGAACTTTCCTCCAGAGTTATGAACTCTGCCGCGGCTGTGTCACTGTCACCAGGCTGAGAAAGGGGGACCCTGAGCACTGATACAGGTCCCGTTTTATTTTCGTGTGGTCACGTGTTTAGTGAATCTAAGGCATTTTACGTTTTGCCCTAAATCTTATTATGTACCAAAAATAAAAGCTAAACATCTCTGTGGATTGATTATACTCAGCCGGTAATCAATCCATTCCAGTGTCTGTAGAGAATGGTTAAGCATTGGAACTAGAAGACATTGCATTTTATTAATTGTGAGTGGAATCATTTAGATATTTCGAGATGTTGGAAGAAATGCTACTTTATCCCACAGTTTAGCTTCTGTGCTGTATTAATGGTAATCTGTGATGAATTCACCGCAATTGGACCGAGCTGACAGACACCACTGCTGGAGGCTTGATGCCCTGGTGGAGGAATGAGCGGCTGTGGAGCAAATCAGCCGCATTCTGGTAGATTCCTACCATGTAAACATCGCAGTGTGCCTGGGGAGTACAACAGCCTGTTGACAGTACAAAAAGTTAACAGGAGATGTCCCTGCGCAATACTGGAGGTATCGCAAAATGATGCATGTAAAGTTTCTTCTTCTCCAGAGCGTTTGATGATTGGCATCACTGTCCTTGTGGTTTAGAAGAGAGAGACAGACTGACAGACAAGGTCAGTGATTAAAAGGAAAGCTGAAAATGCGAAAATTAATTTGCAGTTCAGTTTAAGGTAACACTGGGAAAACTTGTCTTTTTGCTTAAGGGATCAAGGACTTGAGAGACCAAACGGACTTGAGACCAAACGAACTGATGCGGAGATGTATCAAATTAAGCACTCTGGGATGTCAGGGAGTCCGGGATTCAAGTTCAGATGTCTGTGCTTCTAATTAACAAGTGGAAGTTGGCAGTAACTGCACACACATGCACACACAAATACATGGTCTAGTATCCCAGGTACTGATATGTATAAATAAAATTGCCAGTTGGTTAGTTATTTAGTGGCCATCAATGTAGAAACCATAGGAAATATATAAAATATAATATATAAATATAAAAATAAGGAATAAAGGGTACTGAATAAAGTATAAATATTGCACGAGATTATAACCACTTACTGTTTTGAAAGGTGGTAGTTAGATGGCTTGTTGCTAAGTTTAAGGAAGATTAATCCAGCTAAGAATACCAAGGCTATTTTGTGGATGTGGATCTAGCCTTAAGCATGTGGTCTCCCCAGTTTGGGAGTTCTCCAGGGCCTGTATGCTGTGATGGTTTTGAAGATAGACTGTGGCAGAAGTGTTGGCCAGTAATGACTCCCCCCTCCCGGGCCGCGATTGCAGCCCCACGACCGCAGGATCACTCTGTTTACTGTGGTTTGGCCCAACTCTTCCCTTTTCAGTACAGTGAGAGAAAACTTGAACAAACAGCAATAAAGTTATTTAGAATTATGCAGATGAAACCTGTATACAAAACAACATAAAAATTCCTTTGGTCTTCATTCATTTCATTGTGACACAGTTTGAGGTTAACAACCAATAGGCTGGATGCAAGAGTGACAAAGTCTTACAGATTTAACTCTTGTCTAATTAAACATTGCCTGTTAGGTCTCATACATTCTTATCTGACATTCTTCAGGTGCAAGAACATATATGTGTTTAAATACTGGACAGATGTTACAAAAAAGCACCAAAATGTCCTAATCAGATCGATGCCCTAAGCCAGGGGTGGGCCGGTATGTACGCAGGGTTTTGGCATAACCTTTAGTTCAGTTGTTCAAACCCAGGTGTGAGGACTCTTCAGCCAATCAGTCCTCTGATTAGTAATCTAATTAGGGAGTTGCAGTGAAAACCCGCATACACAGCGGCCCTTTCTGGATAAGGTTGCCCACTCCTGTCCTTAGCAGATTTCTGGATATTCAGCAGATGTAATGACAATGGTTACACATTTTTATGGAAATGTATTGATGTATTTTGTTTTATTTCCACTGAGAATTATTTAGCTAGTGATGTCATTTAATGTTGTTTGTACAACTGGTTGCGAGTCTGACTCTTTGAGCCAGAATGGCATTCCGTCAGTGTCATCAATCAATTGGTGCCAGTCCACCCTAGAGGAAAACCACTATGACAGGGCACCACTGGCAAAGAGAATCCAGTCCGCCCCCATCAATGGGAAAGTATGAACACATGAAGAACCAAAGTATGGTATTATAAATCACACCATCTGAATAATAACTCGTACTTTGAAAAAGTCGTCTTATTGAACATCAAGGAAATACATAAATAACTAACAAAACAAGTGAAAATAATATTTGCTCATCTCTGTTTTTCCTGCTTTAAATAACCTTTACAACATGAAAATAGTGGTGGATTACAGATACTGCAGCAGTGAGGGAAGTTGTGTCTGTTATCGACGCCAGTGTACTGGCCTTTACCTTAATGCTTAATCTTCACATCGTCTGAATTTTGTGACTGAAACCGCACTGGAGCTCCTGGAGGCACCATCTGTGCCCTTGCAGCAGAAAACCTGTAGCTGATATGCGTCGTGTTTCACTTTCTGGCGGAAAGTGTGGATTTTACGACAAGTAGCACAAACAGAAGTTTATATGGTGATATACTAGTTTTACCCAGAGGTTGAATAAACATATAGAGTCATTTTTAAATTTATTTTGGTTAAATCGTCCTATGTGTTGGTGACTGGTCTGAGGCTGTTGACATTTCCTCTGGATTTCTGCTATAGATTAATCGTTTTGCTGCAAATTACATCCAGAAATGTTAATATGCAAAATGTTCACGTTGCATTACTTGCATGTCAGTTGTACGTTTTTTTTTTCTGAAGGATGACACAAACCTCTGAAGACTACCTTACAATGTCATACAGAGTTATATATGTGAAAATGTTTTTCTTTTATGCTCACAGATAATGTGTAATGGTTACTGACACCGTTCAATGCAGTACGGCCCTGGTCTGTTATCCTTTTCCAGTGCTATAAATGACCCACGAGGGGGCAGTGTTTTGCGAAATCTATAAAAAATGTTTGCCCGTCGTATTTTATGCAACACGTTTATAATTCTCTTGATTATTCATTAACATTAATAACAGTGTATAATTGTCAATAGTCGGCATTGCAAAAATGACAATCCTTGTGCTATGGGATGCAGTGAACACAGCTGCTGGAAGAGTGCTCACATTGAATCAAAATACAAGTTTAGATAAATATGAAAAATGGATTTGAAATACTTACCAAATTTTAAATCAGCTCCTCATCATGCTGCTCACAGTTGTTTTAATTGTGGAATAAAAACGAGCTATTTTGAAAACAATGTCAGACTCCAACTGTTATTGTTTATCAAAATAATTATGTGTCCGCTTGACTTCCTAAGTGACAATGGAGAGTCTGGAATGTGCTAGAACAATGACAGCTGAAATCAATTAGGACACTGTGGGACAATCAGATGACCCTCTGTTTTAAAAAATTAAGGAAATGCATGCCTGGTTCTCAGACCTGAACTAGGTTTGCAATAATCTCACTGATTTTCTAGTGGTTGGACTGAACTATGTTTAGGAAGCCAATCATTATTCACTGTGGTTAAAATGAGACAACTTCAGTTAAAGGCTTTGATTTTAGATTCAACCCCCTGCTGAAGTGAATCTTATTTGCACTGTCTAATGTTTTTGCTTGGCATTCATATAGCAAACCATAAGAAATGTAAACCCTGACTTCCTGTTGAGAATAAACACGAGATCCTAGTTCATTAAGATCCCAAGTAAGGCAGTGTTTCATGTTTCAGGTCATTTTTCAAAATTTGAAAATCATTTTTTGCTGTTGAGAAGATCGGCAGTTCAGGGTGTAACACTGTGGCCTTGTGTCTCCAGCATGGCCGCGGCCTATGCTAACTGGCACTGCCCTGTGTGTGGAGCTTGCATGTTCTCCCCACTTTCTCATAGATTTCCTCCAGATACTCTTCTCCTGTGGTTCTGTCTCAGAGTACCCCATGATGACCTGGCTTCCAGTCAAGGTGCCATGTGCCTCCTGGAATAGTTTCTGGCTCACTAACAAACCTGCACTGGATGAGCAGTCACAGAAAACGAATGGATGGGCTTCTTCTCTTATCTGTGTGACCCTGCAGCATTTGCTTGCCCGTCACTGAGAAATGTAAGTGCAGGTGGTGTGTGTGAGTTTGAGATGGGACACAAATGTGCATCTTCAATTACAAATAGCATCGGTGGCTATGCTGGACGGATGTTCCTCTGTAAGGGTTTATTGATTTAATTGATTTAGGTTGCACAGAGAATTGTGTTAAAGTGTAAAACTTTCTGGTTTCATTTCATCTGACCAAGATTAGCAATGTGCCTTTTACATAGAACCAAATTCACTGCAAGTGACTCATCAGATTTTTTTCCCCCAACCTTTTTTACAATGCAAGCTACAAAATATGCTGAGTGGTAATGGTTTATTTTGCTGAAGGGGGGATCTCCTCAGCTGATTTTGCCAGTCAGGGGGATTCCCCCTCAGTAGATTTAGCCTATCTGGAGGGGAGGGGAGGGGGGGGTCCCTTTCAGTATATTCTGCTGTTTGGGGGGCAGGCGTGAAGGTGTCATGATTGACTACGAATGACTTAAAGATCGACTGGTTGGTGATAAATGATATGTATGATCTTTTATGGTACTAAGATACTGACTGTTAACTTGGCCTAGCATGCATTTACATCAGTGTAATCTACATTAGGCGGAAAGACAAGTTTTTTTAAGCCAAGTCATATGGTTTTACTGCTTTACTTGCAACAGTACACCAAATCTTGCAATATTATCATAGTGGTGTTTTTTTGGTAATAGCAAGGTGTGTATAAGTACAAAGGGGTGTGTTTATTATTAACCTACTGCAAGGCTCTTATATTCTCCACTTTGCCTAACTAATAAAGAAGCCTTGCAAAGCTGTTAAATACTCCAGCTGTTCTCCCATCATTAACGCGGCTAATGTGTTGTGTAAATATACAAAATGTCATAAAAGACACGGATGCTGGGCATTGTATGGTCTATTAGTGCAAAAGACTGCAAAATATAATCCTTGGATATTTTATTAAATGAATCTGTCTAGACCAGATCCCGGCCAGATATTTTGCAGCAAACACTTCTGTACTGTTGTCTATAAAGGGTCTTTCAGAATAAATATTTATGATGATGAGACAACAATTATGAAATGGTTTGCAACAATACGTTTTGTATTACCCAAGACACATTTCTTATAGAGTGCCGAATATCTGAAACTAAAGCAGAGTAAAGTGTCGAGTGTTCCTGGAGGCTTCCTGGGTCTAACTAATGAAATTCCACCTCTCTGTAGGGCATGGTCACCAGAACTATGTGAAGTAATTGCTGTAATTAAGCAATTGACAAATTGGGTGATGAAAAAATAGATATCTTCATCATTTCAGGACCAGGTTAAAAGAACTTTCTTTGGTTACCGGGTGTTTAAATTTCATTATTAGAACTTAATTGCTGAAAATATTGATTAGTGGTTAAATTTAGAAATTTTGTCAAATTTGTAAGCAGTTTTTGTAAAATGTTTTGTTAATTTGTATATATACTACATTTATAACCTATAGAGTCTTTCAATATTTAATTTCAAGAGTCTGAACAATTACATGACCACTGACTAATACAATTATAAGTAAAGTAAAACAATTAAAAGCACAAAGAAAAGCACTTTTGTATAAAATTTTTGTGAAATTATAGATATAACGAAAAGAAAAACCTCACAATTCTACTCCCGCAATTAGCTCTCTGCTCTATCATCTCCAATTGCTGTTGAAAATGCTGGATTATTGGTCAACCACTATTGCTACCACATAAAAGACAGAAATTATATATTTTTTAAACTCTGAAGCTTTTAACAGGGTGACTGCAGATATGTTGCTTTCTGGCTTGCCGTGAGCGAGCGAGAGAGACCGTCACGTTGCTCTCTAAAGGCCATGTTTCTGCCGGCCTGTGTTTACCTGACACTTGGATTGACAGCAGAGCAATTGAAAATATCCACCATTCACCAGCATGAACCCCTCAGTGCAAGAAAAGTGCTTTTTATAGTCTGGCTGTAATGGGCCAAGTTTGAATTGCAGGTTGGGGGAAAATGACCCTGCTCTGTGCCCACTTGGAGGGCAGCTGACATACTGACAATGATGCACAGCAGTGCTTGAAGGTCTTGCGTGGTGGAGTGAAAGTGAAACAGAATGGATCCTGCGCTGATATTTATCAGGGGATGTCCTAAATCATTTGTGTGCAGGCTCTTAGACATGACATGAATGTCATTGTCTGAAAAGTGCATGATGTTATACCAAATGTTCCACTATTTGGGATGCATTTTATTGAATTTCATCTGTGTTCCAATTTCTGAGGCATGACAGTCATGTATTTTTCAATTTGATAAGGTGTAATGACTAACTCATAATGACTATGGTTCTAAGTAGTGCTTGTAAAGAAATAATACGTTCAAATACAACTAAGATAGATATGTAATAATGCAAAAATCAATTTTAAATATACCGATAAAATTTAGTCTACATTGGAAATTATATTTTTACATTTTTATTACTGTTTTCTGCTCAACAGAATGAACCTTATACATTACAAACTACCTTTGGGAAAATGCCATATTTAATAAGTCCATCGTTTGACCCATATTTTAATTCTCGAGTATGCAATGTTTCTGAATGATAGAGGTGTTTAAAATGACATAAAAAGCATTTTAAGTGTCACACATCTGTTCCACTGAAGCAGACATTTGCTGTAGCTGTCAACAGCGCGGGATTTCTGATCTCGGAGGTGAGCAGCTATCAGTGGTCTTATTGCCATTTAAACGATTAGGTAACTCGGTCCAATTTGGTGTGCCGGCAATATTTCTATGTTGATTTGCTTTTACTAATTATTGTAACTGTTTTATTCTACATAACTGACATTCACAGTGCATTAAGGGAAAATCCGTCTAACTATAACATAGTAACGTTAATGGCCGAATTGCTTTCACAACCAACGTTACTTCCTGGCATTTGCTCGAGTTCCACTAGAAATTCCCTGTTATTTTGTATCTAGTTCTGTTTAACAGGAAGCAGTATGACGACAAGTTTGACGGACATGACATCTGGCGAATGGTACCCCAGCGACGCGAAGCAAGAAGCCAATCGCTTTGAAGAAGAACGGCGGGACTTCCGGCGCGTGACGTGAAATTTTACAGTCAAGGCTGGAAGCCCCACCTTTTGTGTTTCCCGCACCGTCAATCAAAATAGAAAAAAATCGACTCGAATCACCGATCGCCGCCCGCCTTTGATTAAAATGATCATGTTTGGCGTTTAAATAAACCGAAAATCATCCGATTTAAATCATTCGCGTTATGACTGGTACGTAACATTTAAGCTGATTCAAGCATGCCAACACCGGTGAGTTTATGCAAGCCCTCAGCTTGCAATGTCTTAAGCTAATCTTTTCAGCAGCTCAGCCAAGAGTGAGCTGGCTACGATTTAAACACAAGGCAAATCTTTAATTGTTATCGAAATAATTACAAAGCGTTAACAGGAGGCAGTATACGAGTTACGAGCCCTGTGTTGTAATTTGTCGTCTGTTTAGTGTGGTTTTTACCGTGCTGTAATTAAACTTAAGCGGTTTGTTTTGCTCCGTTTCCCTCTCGCTGCGCCTTTCTGTAGCCCCTGAACAGCCAGTGAAACAGGAGGAAATGGCTGCCTTAGACGTGGACAGCAGTCAGAGCGACTACATGCAGCACGCCAGCGCTGGAGGCGATCAGGTATTTTTTATTTTTCCAAAGAGCTTCCCCCTCGGTCGCTCCTTCTGCCAGCTTTGTCGTGAGACGCATGGGGGTTTTTGTGAAGTTCACACGTTTTAAATTTTGATGTTCCAAAAAAAGTGGCACTTCCTGTGTAGCTGCGGACTAACGGCCACCCACTTTCTCCTTTTTAAACCCGCCCATTGTGGGTAGGACGCTCAGCCGTCACCGCTCGCGCTGCTGGCAGCTACCTGTAGCAGGATCGGCTCGCCATCGCCGGGGGAGGATAACGGTGCCGCCGATGGCGCGGTAAGTCTGCCGGTCCCGGGGCTTTGCCGGGCCGTGTGCCTCAACGGCGGAGCGGCGCAGCGGTGTCGGCAGAGCGGAGGGGCGGCTCGGCCTTCCTGCCCCTGCGAACTTTCTTTTTCTGTGACCATAACGAAGCCTCCAGCCTCTGGGCTTTGGCCGTGAAGGGTTTAGTGAACCCACAAAAGTCCGGAAGCGTATTGGAAATAAAATCCTTTTGGTCATTTCTTTTTTTCCCCCCCCAGTCAAATTTTTTCACAAAATATCAAAAACGTGTGAACTGTTAAGGGCCCTTTCGTTTAATCATGTGTGGTACAAAGTGCTTTTAAGAATTAGTCTTGTCAAAAGATCATTCAGGTGAGACCTCTACTCAACTCAACTCTATATGCAGTTGAGTTAAGTAGTGAACCAGATTGAGCTAACGGTGACAGAAATTGACTTTATGGTCAAGATGGACAGAACTATGATGCACTGTCCTCCTGGGTTCTCATATGGTTTTCCTAACGTGGCTGTGTATATTGCGGCTGTCACAAATGTAATATTTATCTGCTTCTTCTTTTAGACCACAGACCTCTCATCTATACACTTAACAGGGACATCTGAGAGATGGGAGGTTTTGACTCCATCAGCATCTATAAAGGAGGAGCCGGGCATAGTGCGTATTCCCAGCGCGGGGATAGTAACGTCAAACGGACAATACGTTCTTCCTCTCCAGAATATGCAGAGCCAGCCGATTTTCGTGACCTCTGCGACGGACACGTCCACCAATGCAGTGCCTAACATTCAGTACCAGGTGATCCCGCAGATCCAGACCGGAGATGGACAGCTGGGCTTCGCTGCCTCTGCAGTGGAGGGTGGCTCCCTAAGCCAGGATGCCACGGGGCAGATTCAGATCATGCACAATGCGGGTCAGAGTATAAGTGCCACCGGGACCTCTTCCTCTGACATCCTTACCAACAGCCAGAACCTCGTATCACAGACTGGGCATATCCAGCAGATTCAGGGCGTTTCCATTACTGGGTCATACAATAGTCAGGGTCAGGTTGTCACTAGTGTGCCTGTCGGCTTGCCAGGGAATATTACCTTTGTTCCAATAAATAGCGTGGACTTAGATTCGCTGGGACTCTCTGGAGCTCAGACAATAGCGACGGGGGTCACTCCGGACGGGCAGCTGATCATGGCCGGCCAGGCCGTGGAGAACTCCAATAGCTTGGAGAAGTCTGGAGACGGGATCCCTCAGACACTCTCCATAAGCGAGTCGAACTCTAACCAAGAGATTTACGTGCCAACGACAACCTCGTCACAGCTCCCGGAGACGATAGATGGCACGGGGGTTCTGACTACGGTCACGGCTGTCTCCGGCGCCCAGACTGGAGACTCTGCTCTCCAGGAGAGCTACATCAACCAGAACCAGGTGCAGAACATTCAGGTATCGTCGGCGCATCCTGTCATCCAGCTGCAGCCGGTGCCCGTGAGTGCGGGCGACGCCCAGGTGGTGCAGGGCCTCACCCAGCCCCAGGTCCAGGTCGCGGGGCAGAACCTGCAGCTCATCAACCCCGGGACATTCCTGATCCAGGCACAGACGGTCACGCCCTCAGGGCAGATCCAATGGCAGACTTTCCAAGTGCAGGGCGTCCAGAACCTGCAGAACCTCCAGCTTCCCAGCACTGGGGCGCAGCAGATCACGCTGGCCCCCGTTCAGACACTCTCGCTGGGCCAGGGGGGCACGCTGAGCTCCAGCCCCGTCAGCATTAGCACTGGGCAGATCCCCAACCTGCAGACTGTGACCGTCAACTCGGTGTCCCAGCCCGGCATGCCATTCCTGTCGTCCGAGGACACGGACAGCCCCGCAGGTATGGCCTCGCCGGCAGCCCCAGGACCCCTTTTATTGATGACACGCACATCTGTATGTGCCATTTGCTGGAGGAAGGGAAGATTGCACTCCAGTTGAATTGGAGCCTTTACAGCACTGTTGTGCTAGGTTCCCTGAAAGGATCATTCAGGCCTACTTTGTGAAATTAGCCTTAATACATAACACATGCACTTTTTCCCCCCATATATTTTTCTTGGGTTTTTCCACCCTTCTCCCTTGTGAAATACAGATAAATTCTTGGCGTGGGCAAGGGGTGTGACTTTAAGGGAGCCTGCGTTGAAATATCTGGATCGTTTTGGCTTGTTGCTCAACTCCCTGAGTATTTTAGATGGCGTGTGGAGCCGAAAGGCACTGGGGAAGCCAGAGATGTGGGCGGATGTTAAATTTTCCTGCCTTCATAATGAGAGTTGAGTAGTTAATGCCAGGCTGTCAATTAAAACTTTGTAAAATGTGCTTTTTATGGGTAGGGAAATGACCTTGGGTTATCTTTTCTAATGTAGACTCTTTTTAATGTGGAAATGATGACCAGCAGTGTTTTATGGAAGCTCGTAGCTACGTATGACTTGCATGAATGTGGTTTCTGAGCCCTGATATTTAAAATGTAGGCATCTGAGCTGGGCGTTGCGTTATGAGCAGTGCTGCTTTATGTTGATGGTTATAAGCTGCCTCGTATCGCCAGCAGAAGAGCCTGTGTGATGCAGAGGAGACTAGCAGCTGACCGCTGTTTGTCGAAGCCACCTCACAGTGCCCACCCACTGCTCCTCTTATTGTCTGACAGATATACAGATCAAGGAGGAGCCCGACTCTGAGGAGTGGCCACTGGGCACGGACTCCACGCTGAACCCCAGTGACCTGTCGCACCTGCGCGTGCGTCTGGTGGACGAGGACGGCGAACTGCACGGACAGGAGGGCAAGAGGCTGCGGCGCGTGGCCTGTACCTGCCCCAACTGCAAGGAGGCTGGCGGCCGGTGAGTGTCGTGGGGGGGGGGGGTGTGTGTGTGTGTGTGTGTGTATGTGTGTGTGTGGGGGGGGGGGGGGTGTTGCAAAGATCACATTTGGGGACCAAAACGTCCCCAAAGTGTGTGAGATCCTGAAACTTCCTTACTGTTGGGGACATTTTTCAGGTCCCCATTTGGATAACCTCAATTTTACATCTCTGTAAGATAAACGTTCCCGTTGCAGTGAGTGATGGCATTTATCAAATTACCCTGATCAATGTTGCTGCATTCATTAGGGGTTAAATACTAGTACTAATACATGCATACATGTTACTCAGCAGTGGCTCACTGGATAGCGCTGTGGCTGGGGTTAAGGGTTTGAATCTCACTGGGTGTACAGCAGTGGGCTGGCATCTTGGTCTGTTTGTCCCCTGCCTTGTGCCCTGGCCTCCCTGTAGCTCTGTACTGGAAACACAGCCCCATGGAGAGGGTGTCCTTGCTTCCCCCACTAGCCATTCACGGCTCTGTATCCGCACCCCAGGGGCTCCAACACGGGCAAGAAGAAGCAGCACGTGTGCCACATCCCCGGCTGTGGGAAGGTGTACGGGAAGACGTCTCACCTGCGTGCCCACCTGCGCTGGCACTCGGGGGAGCGGCCGTTCGTCTGCACCTGGATGTTCTGTGGCAAGCGGTTCACTCGCAGCGATGAGCTGCAGAGGCACCGCAGGACGCACACGGGTGAGGGCCGTGGGGAGCTGGGCCTCCTGGGTGATATCTGGGCACAGTGTGTGGCTCAGAGGTTTAGGACTCCGTGCCTGTCATCAGAAGGTCATGGGTTCAAATCCCATAGTCCGCCATGTGATTTCACCCTCGGGCCTTAACCCCCAGTTGCTCCAGGGACGTTTGCTGTATAGTGCTTTGGATGAAAGCTAAATGAATGGGGTTTAGAGCAGGTATCAGATCCAGGAGTTTGGTAGAATTGTCCTCGTTTCTTACTGCATCTCTCCTCGTTAAATTAAGCTTCTCATTAATGCCTTGGACAGGGGAGAAGAAGTTTGTGTGTCCGGAGTGTTCCAAGCGCTTCATGCGCAGCGACCACCTGGCCAAGCACATCAAGACCCACCAGAACAAGAAGGGCGTGGCCGCCGGGGCAGAGGTGGCGGGAGTGTCCTCGGACGGCATCCTCACCGCGACGGGCGCCACCCTCATCCTCACCAACATCCAGCACGGCTCCGCCCAGGGCCTGGGCACGGTCAACGCCGCCAACGCTCAGGAGATCCTCTCCAACACGGAGATCCCTCTACAGCTGGTCACCGTCTCAGCCAGCGAGGTCATGGAGTGACGGCTGCCTGTCACTGGGACTCCCTAACCCCTCCCACCCCATTTTTAAAATAAATATATATAAATATATGAATATATATTTTAAAGAATTATCATTTGGTCTTTTTACAGATTGGGCAAAAAATAACAATACATGTGGTTCCAATATTCACACTGAAAATGCCTTATTTTGTATCATAGTCTGTAGTATAAATGGCGTTGCATGTATTATATTGTTTTTTAAGCTACTGTTCCATATGTAAAGCCTCTGAAGGAAACGTTTCCAAAAATGCAAAGGAGTGGTACAGGAAACTGGAGTCTCGTCAGCCGAATTTCTCCTGTGTGCCCTAAGAGGGGCTGTGCTCAAAAGATCTGCCTCAAGTTTGCGTTAATGACCCCTGATCTCCCCCAGTCTGGCCGTCTGTGTGTCTCTCTGGTTTTCCTGCTGTTCCTGAAGTGCATCCTTAAGCCCCTCTCTCCTGTCATTTTTGTTTATTTCCACCTTTAAGTATCAGCTTTTTAAAGACATCTTGTAGATGTTGACAATTAAATTGGATCTTTCCAAAAAAAAAAACATAAAGGATTTATTTCTAGTCATATGTTCTGTTGCAGCTTGAATAATTATCCAGATGGTAAATAACAATCATGTAAAGGTTTTTTTTTTTTTTTTTGGATATTTCATGTCTTCTGTCCTTCCTGTACCAGCTTGTATTACAGTACAAGTTACTTGTAAATCAAGTCTTTTGATCGAAAAACTATTTATAGTAGGCTGTACTTAGTAAATGGGTTTTGTTGTAATAATCGCCTTTTTAAAAATTACTTTTTAAATATGTAAGATTTTTTTTTTTTTTTGTAAAAATTTCGAAATGGATCACAATTAAAGTCCTTTATATGGAAAAAGCCATGTTAGGAAGGTTGATTTGCCAAACCAGACTCCTCTTGATGCGGAGCTGTCGGTGTGCCGTCTGCCCCACAGCCTGTCAGGTCCAGCTTTGGGTTGTACGACGGATACAGTGTGGTGATGGACCAAAAAAAACTTTTATGCAGTTTTCCTCTCTTCTGTGTCGTGTCACTACGTAATATGTCAGGGTCTTAAAGTTACAGCTTTTCTTTAAAATAAGCTCCCTTTTCCTGCCAAAGCCAGGTACGAGAATCTCATGTTACTCTAGAAACACCCTCAGCAAGCCAATGCAAGCTGCAGTCACTTGATGGCTCTTCTTTGTTCAAGTGGACACCTTTCTATGGGTGACTCACACTGTACTAACCAACTACAGCTAAATAACTTTCTACTTGTATAAATTTTTTTAAATGTTTGGCCAGGGATGTTTTAGGCTGTACAATTTCTTTGTTGTCAAATATGTATTTCCTTTTAAGTATGTACCTATATGATCTGTTTAATTTTTCTATATAGAAATGTTTCTGACATGCATTATGCAGATTGTATAATGTAAGATTGTAAGTAGGTTAAAAATGAATGAATGCTATACAATCTTGTTGCTGGAGTTAATTGCTCTAGTGACTGGAGTTTTTGGAAGAAAAGGATTTATAGCATTTTATGATATTATGACTCACAGGGCCCTGAGTCCCAGAATCTACTTTCATGTAATTGAAATATATTCTACCATAAGTGGTAATTAATAAAACACTATTTTGATATTTTGATTTTATAGTATTCGTTCCCAGCTTTGTCTGAAGACCTGTCTGTCTGTTGTCTTTTTAGCCCAGACTTGTGCTGTTTCTTTGTCATTATGTTTGTACTGTTCTGTTTTTTTTTTTTCCTGATGCTGTATTTTTGCAAGGGATTTCAGGGATATCTTTTCAATGTGGCAATTACATTTCGATTGTATATCACAGAAGCTCGCCTTGGGACGTTCTTTGGCCTCGGGAATAACACATTTGCTTTCTCTTTGGGGACTGTGTTGTGCTCTCTGTGGCTTCGATTGGCTCTGCCGTCCGGTGTGAATATCCTACTCAGTCCATTTGGCTGTAAGCATGCTCCCTCGTGACAGGTAGAGCTCCATTACAGCCAAGCTCCTGCCGCCCCCATCAATCACCTTAGTGAATGAGTACAGGTGGCGGCCGAAACAATGTGTTATGTCAGGCTGTATAGGGAGTTTTTGTTAATTTTCTTCCTTACCTGCTTTTCCCTCAAAACCGAGAATCATGTGGCATTGATACCCAAATAGGGGAATAATATGAACAGAGATGTACTGTATATACAGTTAATACATTTTTTTGGTGGTTTTGCATCACGATTATATATACAATTAATTGGCAAGGTGTTCCAGCACTGCAGAGGGCTTCTAAGAGCACCCTACATCATGTAGCTGTTCTGGACCAGCCAGTTTCATTTTGTCTTGGATGGTGCCCATCTCGCCCCCTCTGAAGTCGGTGCCCGCCTATGCCCCCTATAGCACTGGCCTGCCCTGTTTGGCTTTCGCTAAGATATGTAAATGTAAGTATGTGGAGCTTCTTATTTAACAAACGCGAAAGCCACGTGAAACTGCAAATTCAGCACTCATCTGGAAGATGTTTAGATGATCATGTTTCAGTGGTGCCAGGACATCCATCCATTTTCCATACCCAGTGTCATAGGGGTCTGGAGCCCATCCAGGAAGCTAAGGGCACAAGACAGGGAATAACCCAGAATGGGGCACCAACCCACAAGATGTCAGTCCATGTTTCAGGAGTTTCATTTTTAGTTTAATGTTTAAAATGACCACTTATAAATTCACCCATATCCCATAACTGTTTAGTATAGTCGTGATGCGCTTGCAGTCTATTGTAGGACCACCTGTAAATATGTGTTTGAAGTATTGCTTCGGTATTTAGTGGTGGACAGGCATCTAAAATCAAAAGCAAGTTGAAAAAAATGTAGTAGTGTCCTCACCCACACCGAGCCTCAGACCAGCCGGACCATACCACTTTTGACCCAACCTGGCTCCTTTAGCCTAGAGGCGTTGAGATTGCTAGCTGTTTGTTTACAAATGTCGCACTTTTCCAGCAGGGGTGCAGCCTTTGTGACACTCTGCCTCTTCTGCTTTCTGTGAGTCCAGAACATAAGTCTGTTAGGGCTGATATCCGACACTTCAGGGCAAACAACAGCTGGTTCTGAAATTTTGCTGGTTTGAGGAGCTCCAAACTCCAAAAGAAGTAGAATATAAACCCGAAATCTGTTTTTTTTTTATGAGTCCGTTTCATAACAACCTTCATTTGCATAATCAAATTAATTCAATTCACTGTGAAGCAGTAGCGAGTGGCCCAATGAACACAGAATGACAGTTTGAGTTAATGAAATGTGTCAGTGGTATCATCATTTGCTTGTATGTTAATTAGCCCAATTAATTTCCACTGCATGCTAATCCGAATATTGTATTAATCCTGTTTTCCCCTACAGAAATGAAACCCCCCAAACTCGGCTCACGGGGAAAGCAGAGGAACAAGCAGGTGAATCATACCCTTGTGTTGTTTATCAGTGCAAAAGGTCATTTTAATAAAGATAACTAGATTTCTAGCCAGCTTGATATACTGTATTAGGAAATGTATCACAAAATGTACTTACAGGTAATTCTTAAACTTATTCTTTTGGTTTAAACATATGAATCCTTTGGAGATTGTCTAGTCATCCATCATTCCACTTAGCTTGAGTCTAAACAGTGATTCGTGGTAAACAGTTTCTGATAAAACAGAAGAAGTTCTAGAAGCATCCACAGTTGAAGATCACGGTCCAGCACAGCCGGCGATGCTTCTGTAAGATGGCTGCAGGTGCATGTTATGTGTTCCACCTGGGCTTCTCTGTAGGCACAGCAGATAACGGGCCAGCTTGGGTTTCCCTGGGAACAGGTGCTCTGTGTGCTGTGCTGAGGTGAGCTCAGGTTACAGTGAGCTCACGGTGGCTATATAGCCCGTGAAGCACAGGATATCACTGCCCACATCCACAGGGGCAGCTGGGAGAACAGGAGTACTTTTCTACATGCATGAGTGCAATTTCAATGGGAGCTGTTGCTTATAATTTTTAGCGTTAGGAGCCAACAAGAGTTTAGATTTTTTTTCCCTAAAGAGTGAGTGGGCAGGGATAGGAGGGCACGCACACATACCTGTGCTCTTTCTGAGTGTGTTCCCTTGCTGAGGGGGGGGGGCATCACTACCATCATGGCGGAGAGCAGCCCCCGCGTCTCCCTGGACCCCTCCCGGGTGGCGGCCGTGGCCGACGAGCGCGTCGAGTTCATCCGCCAGCAGGCCTTCGCCTCCCTGCGGCTGAAGACCGATAAGTGGAATCGCTTCATCGCCACCGAGGAGAACCAAAGGCTTCTGCTGGACTTCCTAGATAAAGGCTGCCACCAGCGCCTGGTTCTGCTCACTGGGCCGGGAGGGAAGCTGCATGCTGGCGACGGGCAAGTGAGTCTGACAGGAACCCAGCCGGGCCCAGGCTAGCGGCAGGGCTCCTCTCACCCAGTACCAGGAGCTGAGCGATTAAAGGGCAGCGCATTGTTTCATGGGATACTGGGCCAATGGCATTTCTCATGTCATTTACTGTATATAAATCTGTCTCTTTGAAACAGGCCAAATGATTTATATTTATTTAAAAAAAAGAACCCATTTGCATGTCAAAGATCCTTAACGTTTCTTTCTTTGAAATAAGTTGCCGCTTATTTCCAGTGCTTTCGCCAGTGAAAGCATTCCCGATTTGCTTTCTTTTTCGAAGACCCCTGCACTGTGGAAAAGCAAGCTTTTGTGCATCCTGAAAAAAAGGAACACGAAAGTGTCCCAGTCCAACTTCAGGAGAGAGCTTTGGCTGGGGGAGGTATCAAGCCAGTCCCTGGAACAGGTGTCTGTACTGGTCTCTGAGGTAACCCTAGTCCATCGATACTGATGAGTTACGGAGTCCGTGGGTCTTTAATCATTGATGGCTGCTCACAGTGGTATAACTTATCCTGCTTTTCATCGCGTCCGTGGGGTTGGGGTGGGGGTTGTCCACTCGAGCAGGTGCTGGTTTCCATCCTGGCCAACACCAGGAACCATGGAGGCTGGCCACAGGCTGTGTCGGAGGACGTCCGCAAGCACATAGAGAAGCTGAAGAGCCGCCTCACCACCCTAAGGGGCAGAGCGGAGGGCCGGACCCTGTTGCCGCTGCCCCTCTGTGTGGAACAGGCCGATGAGGAGGACGAGAAGGGTGCCCTCTTCAGGTCAGAGGCCGTCACGACTCCCCCATGCTCACATTTTAGTCCCCTGCCGATACTCAAACATCGGCATGTTGTGGTGGAATAGTGAACATAAATACAGCTTGCAATGTGCTCAAAAAGCATGCCTGAGCGTAATCATTTACGATTTTTCTTGCCTTAAAAATAATATGTTGTTAACACACTGCTTGTTGTTTTTTGACGGTCTTTCTCTGCGCCCGCAGGTCAGCTGAGGGCAGCATCGACTTGCCACTGCTGTACTCCATCGAGACCATGGTCATCCAGTGGACTCAGCAGATGTGGGAGGTTCTGCAGAAGGATTCCAGCCAGGTCCTGCTGCGGGAGGACAGTGCTGGACCTGACGCTGAAATCAACTTCTGGGTCACGCAGAAAGACGACCTGCTAGGCATTCAGAAACAGGTGCGAGCCATTACAGGATTTTAATTTCACTATTAATGACATTTTGTTATTACATCAAACTAATTAAATCAAACACCTTTCTGAAAACCTCTTGGGTAGATATAATCATTGTTCCTCTCACAGTGATTATGTTTTGTGTATTAAGTTTCTTGTAGTTCCCTGCTTTATTCATTCTGCCTTCATAATCTCTTGTGTCAATTAGAAAAATCTTAAAGAAAATTAATAATTTGCCTAAACAGGAGCGCTCGGCCGGTAAAGTGCTTCATATAATGGAAAAGGCTTGTTTTACCCTTAATGTCATTCTGTTGTTCTTATTGGCACAGTTACAGAATCCCAAAGTGGAAAAGATTATGGAGATTCTCAAGAGGATCAACAGCAGTTACGACTTAGCTTTCAGTGACATTGTTACGAAGGTAAACCGAGGTAAATATCGGAGTCGGCCCCTCGTCCTTCTTGTGGAGAGCAGCTAATCACACTTGGCTTGGGCCATCTTGGGTGTTATCAAACACCTCTTCCTCCACTGATTGTTACTGTTCATTTAAACCCAACCCACTTGAGACAGTTAATGGGGACGCTTACAATTTATCACCGGTGGAGCTGAAGTCCATTCGGCGTGAGATTAAAACGGCTTCAGGCCAGTTCTTCTGATCAAGTGCGTGTGGAGTGAAGTCACCCTGTGTCCCTCACCCACACAGCCGCCCTGGAGGCCGAGGACATCGAGCTGCACCTGCGGCCTCTGAAGAGGCAGATCAGCTACCTGGAGGAGTGCAACTTCGCTGGCGTGGAGCCTTTCATCGGGCCGCTCTTCCACACCCTGTGCCTGATCTGGAGCCGCTGCCGCCATTACTGCATTCCGGCGCGGATCGTGGTGCTGCTGCGAGAGTTCTGCAACCTACTCACTGAGAAGGTGCGCGTCCGTCGTCCTGCCTTGGGCTGCCCCTGATGACACCTGTCTGTAAATATTTTGCATGTTTTTGAACTGCAAACATTTCTTGCTACCCGGCCGATCAACGTCATTTCACTGCCCAATTAAACAAGCCATAGGCATTCGATTGTTTTGTATTGCAGTGCCCGATATTCAGGAGGACTATTTGCGAGGAGAATTTTGTTTGTTGGTTTTTTATTGTCTTTGCTTTCTGGTTGTTGAACTCTTGAAAACCCCGTTCTGTATCTTCTCCAGGCCTTCAGCTACCTCATTCCAGAGGAGCTCTTTAAGATGGAGCTGGAGGAGGGGGTTGAGAGGGTCCAGCGCACCATCCACATCATCAGGTGCTTCAAGCAAAGCTTCCACCTGCACAGGGAGAAGATCAGTCAATACTACCCCAAGGGGGAGGAGGTGAAACCCTGGGACTTTCCATCCAGCCTGGTCTTCCAGAGGACTGACCGCATCCTGGAGAGACTGCTGATGATAGAGGTGAGGGTTGCTGTCCTGGGAAGGACAGTGTGGCTTCCTGTAGTCAGGAGACTCGCTCCTCTGCTAATTAGCAGTGGGCTACTTGAGTTCATGCATATTCAGTTGTTAACAGAAGCAGAAAGGACTCAACCAGCTTTGATATGCTTTGCATAAAATAATCAGCTAACCAATTGAATATAAGCATGACTTTAGCTTTTGGGGCTGTGAGTATCTGTGCTTATGCCTGCTTAGTCCCCCAGGCATCCTGACTGCCCCCCCCCCCCCTCCAAGACCCCAAGCTTTCCTCGCTTTTTCATCACCTTGGATAAATTAATATCTGTAATGTAATGTAAATGTATTATTTAGTTCCATACTTGCTTCATAGCTGTGATAACGCTGGCCCCGTGTCCTGCTCCATGATATTATGTCCAGGAGCTGTTCGCGTCGGCCCTGGACTTCCTGAAGCTGGAAAAGGTGGAACTAGGTGGGTGTAGGGGGAATGTTCTCAGCGAAATGGTGTACAGCATGAACGAGGACTTCCATGACAGCTGGAGAGGCCTGCGGGAGAGCAAGGAGGACCCCCTGGACTACACCAAGAAGGTGACGTTCAGCTGCACTTCTGACTGCTTATATATAAATATATATCCCTCCCCCACCTCCCCAGCCCTGTCATTTGCCATGGTGCACAGTTCACTGATGGCACCATCACAATGCCTCGTTTGCTGTCCAAGTCAGAACTGTTCTTGAGGGAGCGAGACATTCTGCAGGCCAGCGGTAAGACAGAAGGGGCTTTGTTTCTTCCAGAACACTGTTTGTAATGAAACTTACAGTGAGTTGTTTTTAAAAAAAAAAAAAAAAAACTGAAAAACAACAACAGGCAGTTGTCTGCGAGGGAGACAGCTCTCCAGAAGAAGTGACCTGTAGGAAAAGAATACATGATTGAATAATAAACGGAAGACATTTCGACTCTCCGGCACTCGCAATTTAGTGCACAATTTAGAGTAGAAAGGAGTCGTCCTAAGTGTCCATCTTTTGAGCTGGTTTTGGTTTCGAGGGTGTCGCTCTCTGCCGAAGGCTCCCTTTCAGTACGCCACTCTGCCTCAATTGCTCTGTAATTGCTCACAGTCTACCTCATCTTCTATTTCATCCTGTGCAAAGTACATAAATACCATAAATGTCCCCAACATGGGGACAACTCAGTAATGTCTGGAATAAAACTGGGAAGATGTGCTGTACTGGTATGACAACTAGTACTGTATATTGCTTTTTTGTCTACTAACATGATTTTTGTTACATGCGCTGTTATTTGGCTACATAGAACTTTGATTTCAATATACTGTATCGGCCAACTATCGGTATCGGCCGATATAACATGAGCCGATATTTACTGCCGATAATTTCCTTTAAAATGGTGACTCATATTGCTTTGCACACTTGCATACTAAACAGTTAGAAAAATGTTTTCTGTGTGGATATTAGCGATAATGACGTTATAAATGTTTTTTGCAAACATTGCTAAAATTGAGTGAGAAGAATCTATAAATAAACATTTCAACACCACAAATTTGATTGCACCCCTTAAAGCCAGACAGGGAAGAGTATGAAGAGTTTGCTAAAAACAAATCCTACAGTACTGCAGAATAATGCTGATCCATCAGTAATGCAAACATTTGACAGCAAAAGAAAATTCAGAGCAGACAATGCAATGTAGCTGCTTGATCCCTGTGGTCCTTGGTTCTCTGTGGCCCCTGGCTCTCTGTGGCCTCTGGTTCTCTGTGGCCCCTGGCTCTCTGTGGCTCCTTGCTCCCTGTGGCCCCTGGTTCTCTGTGGCTCCTTGCTCCCTGTGGCCCCTGGTTCTCTGTGGCTCCTTGCTCCCTGTGGCCCCTGGCTCTCTGTGGCTCCTTGCTCCCTGTGGCCCCTGGCTCTCTGTGTCTCCTTGCTCCCTGTGGCCCCTGACTCTCTGTGGCTCCTGGTTCTCTGTGGCTCCTTGCTCCCTGTGGCCCCTGGCTCTCTGTGGCTCCTTGCTCCCTGTGGCCCCTGGCTCTCTGTGGCTCCTTGCTCCCTGTGGCCCTTGGTTCTCTGAAGCTACTTGCTCCCTGTGGCTCCTGATTCTCTGTAGCCCCTGGCTCTCTGTGGCTCCTTGCTCCCTGTGGCCTCTGGATTTCTATAGCTGCTTGCTCCCTGTGGCACCTGGATCTCTGTGGCCCCAGGCTCGTTGTGGCTCCTGATTCTCTGTGGTTCCTTGTGCCCTTTGGCCCCTGGCTCTCTGGGCCACCTTGCTGTGTGTAGCCCCTGGTTCTCTGTGGCCCCTGGCTCTCTGTGGCTCCCCGTGGCCCCTGGCTCTCTGTAGCTGCTTGCTCCCTTTGGCCCTTGGTTCTCTATGGCCCCTGTCTCTCTGTGGCATCTGACTGTGACCCCTGGCTCTCTGAGCCACCTTGCTGTCTGTGGCCCCTGGTTCTCTGTGGCCCCTGGCTCTCTGTGGCTCCGTGCTGTCTGTGGCCCCTGGCTCTCTGTAGCTGCTTGCTCCCTGTGGCTCCTGGTTCTCTGTGGCCCCTGGCTCTTTGTGACATTTGACTGTGGCTCCTGACTCTCTGTGGCTCCGTGCTCCCTGTGGCCCCTGGCTCTCTCTAGCTGCTTGCTCCCTGTGGCTCCTGGTTCTTTGTGGCCCCTGGCTCTTTGTGGCATCTGACTGTGGCCCCTGGCTCTCTAGGCCACCTTGCTGTCTGTGGCCCCTGGTTCTCTGTGGCTCCGTGCTCCCTGTGGCCCCTAGCTCTCTGTAGCTGCTTGCTCGCTGTGGGCCCTGGTTCTTTGTGGCCCCTGGCTCTTTGTGGCATCTGACTGTGGCCCCTGGCTCTCTGGGCCACCTTGCTGTCTGTGGCCCCTGGTTCTCTGTGGCTCCGTGCTCCCTGTGGCCCCTAGTTCTCTGTAGCTGCTTGCTCGCTGTGGGCCCTGGTTCTCTGTGGCTCCGTGCTCCCTGTGGCCCCTGGATCTCTGTAGCTGCTTGCTCCCTGTGGCCCTTGGTTCTCTATGGCCCCTGTCTCTCTGTGGCATCTGACTGTGGCCCCTGGCTCTCTGAGCCACCTTGCTGTCTGTGGCCCCTGGTTCTCTGTGGCCCCTGGCTCTCTGTAGCTGCTTGCTCGCTGTGGCCCTTGGTTCTCTATGGCCCCTGTCTCTCTGTGGATCATGTTTACTGTCACGGTCTGTTGCCGGCATTTCAATTCACTTGACAGATGCGAATGGGGGGAGCGTGGCTGTGATGGTCCCCTATGGAGTCAGAATAGTGCCATATATACTTGTATGTGTACTTTCCAATTTGTGCCCGTAAAATGAAATTTGCAATTTTCATTCGCAAAATACTAAACAGAAATACGCGTCACGTGATCTTTACTTGTATATGAAGATTTGTGAATGAACGTGAAAAACATTTTGCAAATACACGTCAATATTTTTTGTAAATACGAAACCAAACATCTTCATAAAAATATTTTTTTACAAAGATAGAATTATTACAAACATACAAGTATATATGGCACTATTCTGACTCCACAGTCCCCGCTCTCGCTCTATACAGCAAAGAGTATTTATCATTGGCTGTAATTAAGTGCTTTCTTGTCTTGGCAAAATTGCAGGT